TATTATTGTGATCATTGGGTATAATATGCAGTGAGAAAGAATGAAACTTTCAGTGTTCAGTTTAATGTGGTGGCTGATGAGTATATATCAGAGGTATCTTCAAAATTACTACATAATTCTGTGATGAATATAAAAATGATTTTAATTATGTGCTTTGGCCAGTGCAGCATAATTTTAGAATGTTCTATACTTTTGTTGACCTTTTCTCCCCTTTTGTTTATTCTGTTATTAAAAAAAGGTTAATTAGCTTTCCTTTCCCTTCCTTTATTTCCTTTCCTTTCCTTCCTGATTACTTTGCGGTGATGTTGCTGGTGTTCTCTTGGCTGGTCACTTTAACCTCACTGAAACTCAGGCTGTTGTAGTGATGGTCTCCCTCCCTTTAAATGGAACTAGAGGTCGAGGGAAGGCACTCCCACCCCTATAATTCAAGTTTTTCTTTTTCCTGCCTCTGTTATTTTCCTCTCTCTCCCTGTCCTCGGTGGGTTGTCATGGAAATGAAAGCTGGGGTGGGGGGCTTCTATTATTGAAGCAGTTGTGGGTTTGGTAGTGGGCAGGGAGTTGGGTATAGTGAAATGAAGCGATTCATGCACTCATAAACAGAGAGTGCGCTGGAGCAGAAGGGCGGTGGGGTGAGGGAGAGAGAGGCGAGGAAAAGGAGAATAGAGAGGGGCCCCGGGGGTGAGCGGAGAGACGAGCCAACTCCACGTGTTTTGGCCCTGTTTCTAACTGATTGCACGTTTTAGGCCATTACGTCATGGTCTGCGAGGCTCTGCTGTTTGAGACACACTGCTGCGGAATCTCATTCCTCATGGAAGATGGCAAAATGAACTCTTGGTAATGCCACCTGTTGTTGGGATGGTAGGAAGATACTGTTCAAAGAGTAGTGAGCATTGCTGATTTTCTCATATGTCATATAACAGATGAAAGTAATGTGACTGAACAACAGACTCGTGTAAAAAGATCTAAAGACTGACTCTGTCATTTATTGGCTGATCTTAGAAACAATGAATTCCTTAGACCCGGGGAATTCCTGGGAATTTCCTTCAGTCTACAAATTTTAGTCTAAATACTTACTAACTATTCTCCTTACATGTTGTCTGGTTGTCTGTTTCTCTGTGTTAGCCCTCCACCTGACTAGCAACCTAGACTCAAACCAAGGACAATGTTTATATGTTATCAACTGGGACATTTTTTTTGTTTTAAACCCTGAAATTAGGTTTATTTTAATCTTATTTTAATATAGATGTCTGCACACACTGTATCTTAAACATACACATTCCAAGATTCTTGGATATGTAACTTAATAATATATCAAGATCTCCCAAGGCAATTAAAACTCCAGCCCACAATAAGAGGCAGACTACATTCAGATGATTCAGACCAAACAGTGATCTTTCTCCCAGCGCCCCAGAGACACACACAAAGACAGAAGCAACTCTCCCACACTCTGTCTCGCCCTGTAACTCTGCAAGGGCTCACACACACATTTTTAATGTGACATGTAATGTAGGACATGATTAAATCACACTACATGAAACAAAAGACAACATAGTCGTAAATTATTTGAACCTACAGGCTCCCTGCAGGTGCCTTCGCCCTTTCACCCTGTTGAGTCTAGACAATGGTGCAGTAAAGCAACAGTGTTGCTTTCTGAAACCTGAAAGCAACCTGAAACAGCTACTCCAGCTTTAGTGACATCGCTACAGTGTTGTGCAAAAACAGTATATGTTCTTGCAAACAAACATTTTCCAGTAATAAATCATATCTACCCTTTCCTTATTCTACCTGCCCTTGCTGCTTAAAATGCATCCTTTTCTTAAAATAGAGATGGGTCGGTGCTCTCTGGGGACATTCTGAACATTCCTGCTATTGTTATTTCATTACTAGGATGAGGGTTGCCCTTGCCATTCATAGCAGCTGACCTCTAGACTTTGCGTCAGTCCCCATTTCTTAGAATCAAAAATATGAGATTGGAGTTCTTCCATTTGCAAAGGTGATTGATGGACAGCTGTTTAGATGATTCAGTTCTCATGCATCTCTTTCACTTTCACATTTTACTTGCTTTTTACTCTATGTAAGAAACGGTTACTATTTATTGGTCAACTACGTGTAGCAATCTCAATATAAAAATGCTAGGATGCTTATTTTACAAAGAACTACTAGACCTTTGCATATATATAAATATATATACATATATATATATATATATACACACACATGTATAGCGTGCCTGAGAGGGATATAGCCATTATACAAAGGAACAAAAAAAGCAAGCATTAGAGATCAGCTTCACCAGGATGTTGCAGTCATGCCTGAACAGTTTGGGTTTACATTAGTCTTTTGATCATCTTTTTGAACAACCTTGTCCCTTTCAAGAGCAGGGGTCCTGTTGGGTCATGTTCAAACAACCCAAATTCAAACTGGTACAAAGGGTTAGGGTTATTCTGCACATCTAAGTGCAGACTACTGTTTCCACAGAAACCCCTCAGCAGCCCTGTTTTCTCCAGCTCTATCTGTTGTTCCTTGAATGTTAAGGCTCTCAACCATATCTTTAAATTACTTTGAGCTTTTGTTCTTCTGCTTTTCTGGAGTGTGTTTACTAATGCAATTATGCCCTTTAATCTCATATTCTCACTCTTCTGCCTATTTTCAGTGCACAAACTGCTTACAGTGATCAGGGTTAGTTTTAATGAGATATGCATTTAGCTTATATACAGCTTCACGGGTTACTGAAACAGTGGTACGAATTCACAACAGAAACGGAATAAAGGATCTAAGAGCCATTAATTGCTGAACCTCCTGAATTTGTGCAACATTTCAGCACATGTAATACAAATTTAACGGTGGCCAAATGTGATGTTTTCTAGTTTCTGATTTGCATCCATGTCACTTTGAATGGCTCATTACTTAGAATGCTTGATAAATGGACACATGGCTCCTGATACTGAGGTATGCTTTAATTTCCCTATCAGACTGCTTGCCTTCAATACTAGGTCTTTTGTGCAGTGTGTTGTGTGTAGGGTTTAGCTCTACTGTACCTTGTTTTTGTTGCGGTATAAAAGTAAAAAAAATATCATTCAGTATTTTTGTTTATTGCATAGATTGTATATAAAATACATTATTACACTCTTATTTCTTATGTCTTTCCTGCAAAAACAGGTAATGACCTCAATGACATTCGCATGAAATGAGTGATTAAGATATTTTATTCCCCAGGAAATCTACATTTTTTAAGTCTCCTTGCGTCAATATGTCATAGTCAAAACAAAATGTGGAGAGCACGTCAGTATCAGAGATTGTTCATGACTTCAGATATATGTTTAGTTAAAGGATGTTAATGTTTACACTAAGTACGGGAATTCTTCCTTGTCCTATGACATGAAAGAGTTTAATAAGGGCTTACACATTTCTAAGGTTCCTGGTACACACTTATGGCTTCTATCTTCTGTAAACAAACATGACATTTTTGAGCATTCTTGAGCTTTTGGCTGACAAATGGAGCCATTGATCTTTAATTAAAAGCAAAGAAATATGTTTTCTGCTTGCTTTCCATGTGTTCTTGACTTGAAGGAAATAAGAACTGAACTCTTAACTACTCCTTTTATCTTAAAATTAAAAAAGACGCTAATCTGTGATTTAATTATAGATAGCTCTTGAATCAACATAATTCAATGACATTAGGGTTACTGGGAGAAATCCACTTATTTAAGTCATGATTAATTTATCAAGGATGATTAAGAATAATATGATTACAAGTACATGGAGACTTTAAGACACACGTGGTCACATTTTTTTGGCTTCAATTTGGCAAAACCAACACACTCCAGCAGCATACCCAACCCCCACTTTCTTGAGCACCCCCCACTTTCAAGTTGCAGTGACAGGTGGCTCTTGGGGGTTTGGGTGAATACAACTCAACAGCTGCACAAAAGAATCCCAATGGGGTCCTTTTGACAGGGTGTCCCCTCTCAAGCGTGCCGATGGGCGCCTGGCCCAGCCCCCACCTTGGCAGATGCTGTAGGAGATCCACAGGTGGTAGATGAGAGACACAGTGGAGTTCTTAGAAATGCTGTGTAATCAAGATCCATTTTAGGGACTTGTTTTTGCCACAATTAAAAAACACAAGCTGCACACAAAGTCTGCACAATTTTATTATCTCAATGCAGTAGGCTGAAGTAGATTCCAAAATAAAACCTTGTGTATGTATTTTGACTGAGCTGTCTTATGGAAATTCATCTTCTACTATTGTTTCACTGCTGTAGTGTGTGCTTGGGAATGTCTGGTTTCGTTTAGACTCTGAAATCTCAGATGAATCTTCTTTAACGTGTCTCTAAAGATTATAGGAAGAGAAGAAGTATTTACTTTTTAGCTATTTAGCTTTTTTTCTTTGGGGTGTTTTCCTTCTGCACTTAACTGGGGTTAAAAGTACACAAAAGCCACCTTTCCTTTTATTCTGATTCCTAGATAAACCTGTAAAGCCGCATGCTGGATTATAATCCCGGAAAGGCATTTGAATTCTGCAAATTAAAAATGATATACTAGCATTTACCCAGCAGCACGTGAAAACCTGTTGTACTGATCACGCCTATGTGGGGTTTCAGTATGTAGGTACATTTTTATGTGGGGAAAATGCTTTAACCAACTCATGAATTAGACAAGCTAGAGACTAAACTATATCATCCAGGCACACAGGTACGCTTTACAAGTCAAAGGTTTATTTGAATGTGAACTGTGAACCGGCTGCGAGTCTTGTAGTTTTTGTGGGTGAGAGAACCAATCAGAACGTCGGGGGGAGGTTAGGGAAAAAATATTTTTAACATGAAAACAGATACAGGGATGTCAGTGAAATCTGTGCTAATCTTGCGCTAAGCACATTCGAATGTATCAGTAATTATTCGTGTCTTCTGTATCGTTAAGGATAACTTAACAAATAATACCAGAGTGTCCCCCTTGTTGATAGTGGTACAGTCCGATCCGGAGGCCAGTGAGGGATCGTTCGCACCAGCAGAGCATCAGCTGTGGCGTGTCGTGGAGTGAGAAACTTCTCTCCCTCCTCCTTGTTGCCTCTCTTTCTTCTCATATTCCCTCGGACACCTTGTCATCTAACTTTTCAGAGACGCAGTGACCGGTGAACAGCAGCTGGCTGTACAGGCGAGGGTTTCGTTTGTTTATTTTTTTTCTTCTGACCTATCTGGACGCTCTCCGGAGGATTTCCTTTTCCAGTTCATGCAACTGGAGTGACTCGACCAACTCCCCCCTCACCCCACCCCACCTCCGAATCCCTGCCTGAGGAATGAGAGGACTGCTGGAGAGGAAGAGCCGAAACTCGCATGTTTGAATGAACAAAAGAACAGAAAGCGAGGCTATCGCTCCCGGAATGGAGGGAAATATTCTGCCTGCAGCAACATGTAAGTCATAGTATAGACAGGAATTTGGGAATTCAAAAGCATGCACAAGTGCTTTGTCATCCACGTCCTTTGTCAGTCTGCAACGAAATGTTTTAAGACGCAACATAGTTGTCGAGTCAGATTTAGAGGTTAGGAAACATTAATGTTTGCGGGCTCGACAGTGTGATGGAGAATAATGAATGTGGGATCAATTATTAATGTTGATCTATTATGGGAGCAGAGAGGGAGACAGACCGTTCATAAAGCGTAAAGATAACGCAGCCTAGTTTAACACCTCAGTCCCAGAGCAGATTTGAATCTGTGTTGTGAGGTGATTTATCAATTTGCAGATCTTAATGTAGAGAAAAAGTCAAACACCGGTGCGATCAGCTGACCGTTGTTGTCTCTTAAAAAAAAGAAAAGAATGTCTGTTGCCATTTTTTTCGCACAGAGCTCAGGTTATAAGGGTTATAATAACAACACAATTTGCACTAGATGAGGTAATCTCACTAGTCTCACCCCATCCCATCCCCCGCCTCACGTTATGTTTAGCTCTCTACTAACACGATGGAGTCACAGGCGGTCTTGTATCATTTGCGGTCTCCTCTTTGCGTCTCTTCTCCTCCAGCAGAGCATGTTTTCCAAATTCAGTGAATAGTTTATGCACAGGTGCAGTCATGCTCCCTGCTGGTGCCGCGGTGCATCAACAAACTCCTAAAATCTAGAACATTTTAATGAGATCAGCTGCCGACCAAAGTGCAGGATGAAGAGTCCGCAACACACTCTGGCCAGCTTTGCCGTAGTTACAGATTTATATGTGCAGTTACAAACGGTGTGATCCCACAATCATGCAGTTCAAAGACAGTTTTCCCATTCGGTCGTAACAAATGTCTGAGCCTGAGACAAGATGGAATATCCATGCTGGAAGTCTGCCAATGTGAAATCTCTCATGTAAGACAGATCGACCAAGTCTGGTCTAATATTTTGGTTTCCACGTTAAACTACTGTATATTATTGACATGTTGCCCGTTTCTGGAAATAGAAGGGGACATACAATGTGTCTGATAACAAAAAAACTTCCTTCCTTTTCCTCTGTGGGGGGAGGTCAGTGTGTTTTGACTCTGTCTCAAGCAGGAGGGGACAGATGCTTTACTCTGATTGTAGGTGCCTTCAAAATGTTCTGAATAAAGCTTGCATTGAAGGCTAGCTCACTCTCACAAGAAGAAGACTGATTTCAGGCCACTCTAATGTTTCATGTAATGAAGTCAGCCAGACTATTATGCTCCCACGCTTATTAAAAATAATCAAAAGTTCTTCCCCCAGGTTTCTTTGATGCATTGATGATCAGAGATCCAATGCTCCTTGTGAGCAACGCAATCGTGCATTGCTACATTCGACTCAAGCATGATATTACATTAAATCCAGTATGTTGCTTTAATAAACATTTGACCTCTTTATGAGCTCAGTTATGAAAGTGAAGAAAGGGTACACTAGTTGCTAAAAATGTCTTGCTTCATCATGTCCTCCAAAAAACACGTATTCTTGGCTCCTCAGCAAATAATTGACACAACAACTGAAGGCAGCGAAAGCATGGATTACAGTAAAATAGGCTGTCAGATGTCTGGGCCCTTTTATTTTCAGGCTTTCATCTTCTTGAGTTCTTCATTCCCTCACAGTTTCACAGATGGGCTTTGTTGTCCTCTTAACTTGAACAACAAGGTTGTGACCAGTTAAGATAAAAAAAAACAAGCTCTATGTTCTACGTCTACCTGCAATTTCTAGAACATTTACTGGCATCTCAGAGGGTTTGAACTAACACACAGACAGCAGACTATAACTACAGTGACAACTGAAAGCGTAAGCGGAGTCAATAGAAGACGGCTCATAATGTTGTCAATTGTGTAATAAGGGAGAATCCACCAGCTTTGCCTGTCAAGCGTGTAGTGAACAAGATCTGTCAGCTACACATTTGCACGGGTGATTATGTAATCAAAGGAATGCATGCAATCAACTGTGCCGCACTTTTTTATTTGGGGGGGTTGTTAGGTTTGTTTGCAAATTAACAGAGGGCAGAGTCACATGCGCCCCTTTAAATTAACTGACTAATGTGGGTTCTTTTAACATCAGAGGGGAGTCGTTGTTTGCAATGTCATGATGTCTTAAGGTGATGTTTTCATGGGTTTCTGAGGATATGTGAAGTAAATGTGAAAGCACTAATGTTTAACGTGGCCAACTGGGAGTATATTAAGATTCATATCTGTTACCATGTTAAAAAACAAAGATTGTGATAGAACATTTGTGAATATACATCAAAAAGATATGGATTTTACTTTGTATGTCGAGCAGTGGCTTATTGGCAGTATACTTAAAAAACAACTTGCCATTATCAGTTTTAGCAGGTTGACTCTGTGTGCATGTCATCAGGAATGTGGTCCCAGACTGTACAGAAACTACCACAAAGCCGGTTTAGAGTACTTTGACTGTGTTTCTATGTCTGTCTGTGCTAATGTTGCAACTTTGCGTCATTCAACGACAAAACATTACACGTACATAGGTGGAATAAAAATGCAGGTGAGAAAGGAGTGAAGGATGCTGGAAGTAGAAGGGCCAAGTGGCCCATTGATTTTCCTGTTAGGGCTGGACAATGTTAAAATTTTCCAGTGAAACTATCAGTGTGAACTGGAGCTAATTAACAATCTAAATGATCTAAGTAAAGTAATTAGATGGTAAATGGCCTGTATTTTATATAGCGCTTTACTAGTCCCTAAGGACCCCAAAGCACTTTACATATCCAGTCATCCACCCATTCACACACTGGTGATGGCAAGCTACATTGTAGCCACAGCCACCCTGGGGCGCACTGACAGAGGCGAGGCTGCCGGACACTGGCGCCACCAGTAGGCAACGGGTGAAGTGTCTTGCCCAAGGACACAACGACCGAGACTGTCCAAGCCGGGGCTCGAACCGGCAACCTTCAGATTACAAGGCGAACTCCCAACTCTTGAGCCACGATCGATAGATGGAGAATGGCTTGTAGTCTCTAAAGATACAAAGATACAGGATGCTATTAAATACTCCGAGTGCGCAACCTGTACCAAGAGCCACCAAGACATATCTTTATATCCTACGCTTTATGGGCTCCAGTGTACCTAGTTAGCTCTGGAATTTGGAGGACACAGGATTGGAAACTTTCACACTGGTGCTTCCTTCACCAGTACTTATTATTAACCTAGCAGTAACCAGTGCTCATGGCACTACATTTGCTAGTCACACGTGATGGAAGTATTCATTAGTGTATGGGCAGAACTCCCAATACTATCTTAGTAAAATAAAAAAGAAGAAGACATCACCTTATGGTGCCATTCAGCATTTGCACTTTTCAAATTAAGTATTTACTTATTGGATTCTCAAGGAGACAGATTACTAAATTGGTGTAAGGAAACAATCAAAAAAAAATTGAAAAATTGCCTGAAACAGAACTAGTACATGTCTTGTCCATGAACAAATAAAGTAGGCCAAATAAGTATTGAACAAGTCAACATGTTTTTCTGTAAATATATTTCTGATGGGGCTAGTCGCAGGGGTGGGCAATCTCAGTCCACGAGGGCCGGTGTCCCTGCAGGTTTTAGATGTGTCCTCGAACCAACACAGCAGATTTAAATGGCTAAATTAGCTCCTCAACATGTCCTGAAGTTCTCCAGAGGCCTGGTAACGAACTAATCATGTGATTCAGGTGTGTTGACCCAAGGTAAGATCTAAAACCTGCAGGGACACCGGCCCTCGTGGACTGAGATTGCCCACCCATGAGCTAGTCACTTGATATCGGTAACAGTCAAAGTAATTCACACATATAAAACAAATATGTACGTTTTATAAAGTGGAGTGACACAGGGAATACGTTTTGAACACAGAGGTGCAAAAAGCCATGGGAAGCCAATGAACAAGTTGAAATCTATTTCTGTTACGATCAAATTAATATCAGGTAGTTCAGTCCTAATCGATGGTCTCAATTCCAAGGTGTCACACAAGAAACATCTCATGATGAGTAAAAGCAAACAGTTCTTTGAAGACTGTTGCAAGCTTATTGTTGCAAAATATACCGATAGCATCAGTTACAGACGTATATCTAAACTTCTGATGCATAATATCTGGACAAGCCAATGAACTATTGAGAGTATATAGTCTGATCAGATGAGACCAAAACACTCTATCAATAGAGAAATATATTTACTGTGAAAAATGTTGGCATGTTCAGTAGTTGAATAGAATATTTCCACTGCTGTAGCAGATTTATTCATTCGATTGCTGACTCTGGATTCCCGTTTTATGCCCACGTCGTGCAGTCATTTCCATTTTTTTGCATTTCTAACTCCATTAATGACGCATTTTCATCAGTTTTATCAGTGTGTAATGTTCTCTGTGATAGGTGTTGGTGGGAGCAATGAATGGTGATCTTGTCTCAAGATGTTCTGCAGTTCATGTAGTGTCATTAAAAACCTGATTCTGATATTCTGCAGTTTTTTATACTGTTTTTTTCCATCTCATTTTTGTATTACTTGGTGCGCGTACAAAAGGACCAATCAGTGAGCTGGCTCCATATTACATAATCCAATTAATTCAGCATATGTGGCTGCAATCACTGATTACATTGTCTATTTAATGGATTTTTCCAGGCATCCTAATCTGGCTTTTTAACAAGAAATGCCAAACTTCATGCATGCTTGAAAGGATTAAACTGGCAAACGGAGTGAACTGTAACACCTTACCACACACTTTGAGAAGATGATGCTTTTCTTTTGGCATCAAGATTAATTGATTATTCTTCTAAGGCTACTGTGGGTGGCCATGTTCAGATATTTTCAAACTCTACACTGAGTGAACTTTATAATGGGACTCGTGCCATGTTTTAAGTTGGGAGAGAAAAGGGGAAAAACAGAAACATCTGAGTCACACAGAACCGACTGAAGTCATGCCAACACTGTGGCACTGAGGCCTGCTTTTAAAGCTACAGTGCAGTCTTT